TTACCCTTTTTGAAGTCTTCTTCTCCCTCACTTCATATCTCTCTTGACACAGATCTGATAGCCATGCACCTGGACTCACCAACTACAAACACAATGGACAAAAGAAGAAGAAGAAGAAGAAGAAGAATGAATTGCATTAACAAGATACAACATCATGAGCAAATTCTGATTCAGAATTATGGGGAAAATACTTACCAGAATGCTCTTCTGAATCAACTTGGCTCTTTTCTTGGGTCTTTGAGGAAGCTTACAACCCTTCATAGCCATGAAATCTTCTTCCTTTTCTTTGCTAGATAAGGTGATAAACAGTCTTGGCCAAACAAGCGCCTTATCTTCCCTTACATGATCAATCAAAACCTTTCTACTGTCATCCAATCCTAAAGAACCCCTTGTTGCATAGTACCTGTCTTCCTTCTCAGGTGATGTGGCCAATGATCTTCTGTTGTTTGTTGGCAAATCAGGATTCCTATTACCAAAAAGGATCCCCCACACAAGAAAGAAAGATATAAGAACTCTTAGGTTTCCAATTGGGAAGTTTCAGCTTTCAGGAAATTTCACAGATGGCCAGCCAGTGTCTTTCTCAGCAACCAGACAGGTCATATTCATAACATGGATCATATTTCAGTTTCAAAACATGGAATTCTCCAAGTTATGCCACTCAATTTTCTCACCAATCAAACAACATATACGTATGATATATGCAACAATGTTCTTTCCCATCTCTAATTATCCAAGAAATCAGCATTAAGCCATTAACAAGGGAAAAGAAGGGGGGAATTTCTTATGCACATCAAAGACAAGAACTTTTACAACAGGAATATTTTACAAGTGGATCCAAGTTTTCCATACCATTCAAAAATTGAAAAAAGAAAATAAGATTTTCTATCCAGTATTGTTCTCTTACTTGTTGTGACCATTAGGCTGCAGAGAAGATGATTCTTTCACTGGGGAGACTGCAAAACTAGAGAGCTTCTTCTTGGGCAAAGCTTCTGTTGATTTGTTGTTGGTATTGTTGGCAGAGTTTTGTGCCTTTTTAACCTTAAAACATCTAAGCCTCTTTCTGCTTCCCCATTGTAACCCAAAATCTGTCTCTGTACCTTCTCTAGTCCCTCTTTGAATCGTCCCCTCCTTCTCCATATATGATTTCTCCACCTCTCTCTCTTCTCTGAAACAAACATCACCAATACATTAATGTCTCTTCCAAATACTTTCAAAACAAAAACGAAAAGAAACCCATGAATCGGAGGTATACAAACCTGCAGAAAATTTCCCCCTTTTCCCTTTGCGAATCGAGAGGAACTGGGTTGAATTCTTCACAGTTAGTACTGGTTCATATCAATGACCTCAAGATCTGACCGAGAAAACAGTGGAGTGAACGTAGAAAACATTAATGAAATTTAAACTGCAGAAAACATACAGAGAGCAATGCTCTGTTTGTCTCCGGATTCTCCGCAGTGAAAACAGAAAAAGGGAGAAAATTTTCAATCTAAACAGTGCTTGTTACGATCCCAGAAACCAAACAACCCTGAAGTTCCTGCAAACAGAAGATAATGAGCAAGACAAGAAGGAAACTTCATCACTTTGTAGCAGAAAACAAGGAACTTGGGAACATTTTCTTCCGAGAAAACAGAAAATTTTCTTGTGAATCAAAGATCAATGCATTCAGATTTCTGGGTCGAGTTTGCCTTCGCAATTGAAAGCCAATATAAATCGAACGGCGCTTCTCTTTCTCTTTGTGTATGTATGCGCTTCTTTCTCAGTTTGAAGTTTTTTTTGTTGTCTCTCTTTTCACCCTAGTTTGTGACTTTCAAGAATTTTATTGGTTTTATTTTTAATTAATTTTGTCCCTTAAAAGGAAACCGTGAAGATGAGAAATGAACGGGTGAGATGAGTTCCCATTTACTCCCATTGAATGACCCTTTTTTTTTTTTTCTTTTTTTAATTTGGCCAATATCACACCACCTTCTTTGTTAAGAACTGAGTAATTTTCTGTTTCCAAAGCTGATAAATTTCAACTCCATAAACAGTAAATGTGGTAGCTTTATGATTTAATCTGAAGACCTTTCACCAAATTAATATATATAGATGGTGTTATTTCAAAATACATAAACATTGAATAGGCTTTAAGGAATGATTCATCTCTGAATCATTTTTAAATTGTGAGTATTGCATCTACTAAGAACTTTGAAACATATCCATCCCCCCTACCTCAATTACCTATGTCAAAAAAAATAAAAAGAGAAGAAAAAAGACACCCGCAAGTTGAACTACTAAGGCCAAAACCCTTATTTGCACCCTCTATTTATTTCTTATTTGCGGTCAACACCTTCCAGAATTTTTCCTCTTTATTTACAACTTTTACTTTTTAAAACCTGTGAAAAACCAAATATTTTAACGAGTCGTCACGGCACTATTAAAAAATGCACTACGTCGCATCCAAAAATTGACGTGGCACATGCAGCGTTTTCTTATTCGTCAGGTTTAGATGTAGATCTGCTTTTTTATGATGTGGCTTCTTTGCTGCACATGTGGACGCCACGTGTGCGGTGAGAGCAACAAAAAATTATAATATTACCGAACAGTAACATAAATGGCATTCTTTCATTTTTTTCTTTCTCCCCTCATCTTCACCATCCTCCATCTCAATGGGTTCCTCGCGTGGAACCCAGTTTGGGTTCCTACACAGAACCCAGTTTGGGTCCCTGCGTGGGGAACCCAGTTCGGGTCCCTGCGCGGGGAACCTAGTTTCTGGGTTCCTCGCATGGAACCCAGTTCTGGTTCCTGCGTGGGGAACCCAGATCTGGGTTCCAGTTTCTGGGTTCCTCGCATGGAACCCAGTTCCGGTTCCTGCGTAGGGAACCCAGATCTGGGTTCTCGAACCTAGTTTCTGGGTTCCTGCGAGGAACCCAATTCTGGGTTTCGGGCAGGGAACCCAGTTTCTGGGTTCCGACCATTTTTTTTTTTCATTTTTTTATTTCGAATGTATTTATCTTAGTTTCCCAATTTATGCAAAGCAATTTGGAATAAGTTTTTTGTTGGAAAGGTGAGTTTTTTTGCTTGGAGATTGTTTATGAACAAGTTGCCAATTTGAGTTTTTTTCGTTTTTTGTGGGAAAGGAGTAAAAGATGCTTATTATGTTTTTGTGCAGTATTTGTTTACTTATAATTGTGTGGATGAAAATCTTAGCTTGGTAGGCATTTATGTGAAATTAGGTTCCACGAACAACTTAGAACTTGGGTTTCGCGAGGAACCTAAAAGGATGAGGACGAGGACGAGGACGAGGATGGTGAAGGTGATGCTGGGAAAGAAGAAAATGAAGAAATTAAAATTAATTATGATGTAATTATAACACATTATATATATATATATATATAAGTCTAACATTGGATTAATAAATGTGACATAAAGTCCTGGTTCCTGGTTCCATGAGGAACCCAGGAGGATGAAGAGGAAGATGGTAAAGATGATGCAAGAAAGAAGAAAATGAAGAAATTAAAATTAATTATGGTTTAATTATGCCATATCATAAAAAAAAAGTCCACATTGGATTAATAAGATGACATAACGTTCATGTTACTGTTTAATGCCACATATTACAATTTTTAACGATTATTAACGGTGCCGTGATGGTAGGTTAAAATATTGGGTTTTTCATGGATTTTAAAAAGTTAAGGGTGTGAATAGGGAGAAAAAATTTTGGAAAGTGTTGACTACGAAAAAGAAGTAAATGGAGGATGCAAATAGGGGTTTTGGCCAACTATGAACACTCTATTTGTTAAAAAAGAGAGTAGATTTCTGTAAGTTAATCAAACAAATTCATTTACAATATACTGTTATGAAATTAAGTTAAATAGCTCAATTAAAAAAAAAAAAAGAAGAGAAAACATTCTTAAACTATAAATAATAAAATAAGATCTCTAATTCAATCTTAAATTCCATAAGCAAGACTTTAAATTGCTCTATTTTTAGAGAGGACGTTAAACACTTTTTAAAAATAAATAAATAAAAAAAATATTTTTTAAATTAAATTACATAATAAAAATGTAGTTTGCATAATAAATTTATTAATATGTTTTTAATAAAATTTATCTTTACTTTAATTTATTAGTAATTTTTTAATCATTTTGGGGCCCTAACCAAACTTTTATTGTGTAATCTAATTTAAGAAAATAAAACTCATAAATAAAACCCTTTTAATTTATTCTTTTATTATTTTTGAAAAAAATTTTCATCCATCTCTTTTTTTTTTTGTATTAATCTCTCGGTATCTGATAATTACATTGAATCCCAACTAATTCAGAATTGAATTGCGTCAAACTTCATTTGAGAAAGTTTTTTCAACATTTGTTTTTCTATTCACAAAACTTAAATTCAAGATTTTACAAAGAACCGAGTTATTTTCACTCGGATCAGCAAGTTGTTGGTCTTGAATTTCTTTCTATTCAAAAAAAAAAAGCCCTTCTCCATAAAAAAAAAATAAAATAAAAAAAATAAAAAAAATAAAAAAAGAGAAAGAAAGAGAAACCCCTCCACAAGCTCGAGTTTCATTAGGTAGGTCCCACATTCGCAGTCATCTTTCTACACGTCAGCCGTAAAATTGCCATGTCAACTGTTGGAAACGCTAGGAGACGGAATAAATGACACCGGCTGACATAATCTGTTATATAAGGACTTATTTATTACATCCCATTTTTCACGTGAAATATTAAAAGGACTACTTTTGAACAACACGAAACATACAGGGGTCAAAGTCCATCAATGTATTAGTCATGAAGAATAGGTAAGAAAGCAATCATAACGCGGAGCAATAGTCATCTTAATTAATTAAGATGTCAATGTTCATTTCCTACTAACCTTCTTTTTCCCCATCTAACATTCTAACCCAATTCCTTTATGACTATTTTGAGAAACTATAATAGTATTTCTCTATCCCTCCCTTCAAACAATGTAAGAGTTTCATAGTTATTTTAATTTGGAAATTTTAAACCAAACAAGAGGGTAGTTCAACACCTATAATAGCCTGTGTAAGACGGAAAATAAAAAAGAAGTGCCTTTAAATTAAACAATATTGGCCCAATTGAGCCCCCAAAGAACAAGTTTTCTTGAAACAAAGGAAAACCAATTCTTCCTAACTAAGATGTCCCCATTCCCATCTAAGTACCATAAAATGTTAAAGTAAAGATAGAGGTACGATTAAAATTACTTAAATTAGTACTGCTCTTTCATCCACATGATCATGAAGAAGAAGAACTTTATTCTTTAAGTTATCCAACTTTCTTACAAAGCAAAAGGGCCTTTCTTTTTCTTTTTCTTTTTTTCTTACCGAATTTTCTCCCACGGTAGAATTTGGTGGCTTCATATGAGTCATTCAAATTTCATAACGGTCAATTAAAGGGAGAAAGCTATGATTTTGGACACCCTTTTCTTTAAAGCGAAGCACACATGGCCAATCTCTTTATTTTCTTGGAAAGAAGTTTAGGTGGATCATTCATAAATTGGAATTAAAGAAAAAGGGTGTTTTTCATGATTCATGAGAAAACTTTGAATTTACCTTTTGGCCCCAAATGTGAACAAGTTGATGAATTTAAGGTTGAGAGTGACCCTTTTGGAATTTATCAATAAATTCGTCTCTCAACCTCTCATATTTTATGTTAATCGTGTTACAAATTTCATGAAAATTTAATCAATCACTTTTATATTTAAGAATATATTACAATAAGTAAAGCAAATTTAACATGATGTGCCTAATTTAATTTGACCTAAAATATATACCCACGATTGAACTTTAAATCAATATAAATGTATTTGAGTGACCTCCATGCTATATATTAGAGGATTATATATTTAGTTGAAAAATGATAAACCAAAAGAAAGAAAAGGCTGAAAAGGGTTTTATCTTAAAATTTTGAGAGTAAAATGTGAAAGCAAAAGATGGTATATATATTTATATATGTTTTTTAACACATGCCAATACAAATTAAGAATATACATTAAAAAATATAAAAATTAATATTAATTTTAGTATTGGTGTCAAGTAGATAAATTTAATTAAACAATTAATAAATTAAAAATCAACTTTTACTTTTTGTAATACAAATTTATAATAAAAATGTGTATTTATTATATTCTTAATCAATGCACAAGGTCATATCTTAAAATATATATATATATATATATTTATATAATGATATATTTAGAGTAGAATTGGATGTACACCATGTACCAACCAATTTTGACAAATATAAGGCAAACCATCTAACATTCTATTATTGCAAGCCAATCTACAACAATCATACGGTTACCATTTCCTTTTCACCTCAATATGAAGTAAAGATTTTACCCCTAAACTCTTCTTCCTTCGATTGATATTATTAATGTTAATGCAATTGTCAACCACATACATATCAATAAAAACTTGATTGATACGCGTAATCGTGGAGTTATTCAATTCCAATCCAATCTTTTGTCAACAAAAACTTAATGTATACACCATACGTGTTAAGGCGTAACAATAATAATGTCTCTATAATTTTCTTATTGTTTTGATAAAACCTACAAGTATGGTAGTTTTAATTTATACAACTAAGTACAACTAATTAATGTTTTGGTCCTTCGTCATTTTCATAGCACGACTTGGCTAATAAAAGACTGGCCTTT